ACCCCCCCCCCCCAAAAAAAAAAGGAATGTTTCCATGAAATCCCTTGAAATTTATACTTAATCTTCGCTTCTCATTTTAGGAATTCTGAAATTCCAAGTCAAATTTTCAAGATGGCTTCCTCATCCAAACTATTCAATTCAATATATTTTTTGTGGTTCAAGAATTATTATACAGTTCTCTACAAGTGCACTAACCTTGGACTTTATGGTTCAAGACGACGATGTTAAAGGTAGGGGGTTTCTTGGGAAAAGTTAGGGGGTTAATTGAAAAAAACAAAGATCAAGGGGTTTCATGAGAAACGGCCAAAGTTTGGGGGTTTTTGTGAAATCTTCCCTTTATTAAGCACAACAATCTCCCTAATCGATTTCCATTAAAATATGAGGTTTCAAGATCGTACATATTCAAGTGGGGATTTACAATCGAGTATGAGAAATTCCAATGTAAATAGATTAGGGATTGTCTAATTGCATTCACAAAATGGTATGTGTTCCCTACAAAAGAGGTATATAGATGAAGCAGATGTTTTCTAATTTCCCTAACTAGTGCACCCTATGCTAAGCACGGCCTCCATTTTTTTATTTCTGCTACAGTAATCATGTATTTAAATAAAGTTTTTGTAAGTGCTACAACAACATTTTTAAATACTACAGTATCCCTTCTTAAATACTACAGTATCCCTTCTAAACTACAGTAATAATGCTACAGTAATATTTTTGGACAGTACCATCCCCGCTAGTGCTACAGTAATAATGCTACAGTATTTTATTGTGCCATGAATAATGAATCTCGGATCCTCCTTTTTGTGCTATAATAACAATGCTACTGTAGTATTTACTGTAACATGAATAGTGAATATTAGATCCTCTCATTATTATAGAGGAATAGATTTAAATATATAAAAAGAATGGTGTAACTAGTGGCCATGCAATTTCTGTCATTCTAGCGCTGCAGCATCTTTTCAAAGAAAAGCAAACTGTAGGCATAGTACATATAATTATCAACTTTATAGTAAGCAAAGTGAAAAACTAAAGTAATAAAGATCCAATTCTTTAACTAAGATAGGGGGAAACCTGTGGTCATCTAGAGAAATGGGGATAACCTGTGACCACAGGCTTAACCATCAAGGGAGTACGAGGAACTCTGTAGTCATAAAATCTCAAACATAACGGCCTACAACCTGCAATATATTATTGGGTAAATTGTAGAAATTTCACTTGACGTTTCACCACTTCTGCAACCTACACGTATTAATGGCTTGTTTCTAGCACTTTGCTATCTCTAAACCTAACATGATGGAAGTGACTGTTGTGTACAGCATACCGAAGCCAGAAATTTGAAGTGAACATTAAGTATGATTCACTGTTTGCTGTGAAAGAAAAACAAGCTGACATTTTTCTAAAGGAAGCTTACATGCGTTAGAATCTGAATGTAAAAACTAGAATAGAGGAGTTCCAAGAAAATATTTTTGTAAAGAACTACAAAAGTTCAACAATAGCAACTGTCAATGAACTACACATATCATATTAATGAACCAATCACCAAAGAAGCACTTCACCATTAATTAAGAAATACACATGATTCAACCTAGCTACATAGAATATATCGTCATTTATCAGCCGTCAAAATTTGGAAAGAAATATGATTGCGATAGAGGGATGGGATGCCCTAGTCAGTTTGCATAAACTCACAGACAAAATAGTAAAGACATGCAACTAAAGTCAAACTTTAGGCATGCCTTATTTTGAGCAAATCAAGAAATCTTACCTGATGTTTCGTCCAGCACGAACAGATATGACATCATTTGCATAATCATGACAGTATGCCCAATAATGAAAGAAACCCCAAAGCAAACGAGCTATGCTTTCATTGTTTTGAGCACCAAAATGACGGATTCTGTCAACTTGATCAAAGTAAGCACACTGAACGCCATCTACATTCGCAAGATAAGTTGCTTCCATCTCCTGTCATACAGTGATTGAATGTTGAATCAGAAAGAGAGAAAAGTTGTATAAATCGAAAACCGCTTGTTGAATTGAGATTTAATTATACAATAATTTTTTCTTCCCGTATGTTAACTATTAAGTTTCTAATCATTTGAGAAATATTTATTTATCTCTATGTAATTATGTATGCAGGACTATATTGTTTAGTATATTTGAAGTCTAACAAGCTGCTACAGATTTAAGAGGATCACGTATTAATAGATATTGAAGGAAGTGACCCGACAGCTTCACTAGACAGAGCATTTTCACAATAAGCAGATGAAGAAGGACGTTGTGATGAGAATCTGTGATGTAAAACACTAATAGTCATGAAGTCGAAATAAGTATGTGAATATTTCCACGTGTCAACCAGCTTATAATAAAGGTAACAAACAAATTAATCCAGCATGCAATAAGGTATGGAGAGCTTCATTCTTCCAAATAAACAAAATAACAAAAAAAATGTACTCCAGACCTGTAAACAGGGAAGAATTGCAGGTTTGCGCTGCTGTAAGAAGTGAATGCACATCAATACATACCTGGAGTACAATTAAAATCAAAGTTAACAGAACTATTTGATACAGATGAAAGTTGTCACATAAAGTCGGCATAATAAAATTTGTAGCTTACGCATAGCTAGAAAGGGTTCCTCGGTACGTTTCATTTACTCCCCTGGACTTAGCCCAGTGTTTCACAATAAAAGCCAATTGCCGTAATCTTTCATCTATTTGTGCATAATCCCTAAGGAGCTTTGTATTAGCAACAGCTAGAAGATTGTTGATGCATATATCGCAAGAAATACCAGTCACAGGATCCATCATCTTCACAATAGGCACTCTAGCACGAGTTAATGCCTACATCAATTGAACTATACATGAGAAACAGATAAAGTATGCCCAAATAGCACCATAACTGAAATTACAGTTTATTATCTACCTTTTCATATAGATATCAGTTTTTTCCATTATTCTTCAGTGTGGAAAATAAAAATTACTAACACTTCTGCCAGACAACTAACAAAGGCACATCCCACCAGTTAGCTCAAACTCAAAGAAACTTAAAGAATACTAACCTAAGTTGCATGGAAACAAGTGCGGTGCGGGTACCAGTACGGGACTTGGCAAATTTGTAAAAGGTAGGCCACAGGGACACAGCTATATTTAAGTATGTATATGTATATTTATATGTATTAAAATTAATAATTTATGTAAGATCAGTATTGTATTTTCGGCCACATGTTATGAGAATTAAAATTCCTATAACATTTTCTTGAGAATAACTTTATGAACATGAACATTAGATTGTATTACCAACAAGATGCTAAGATTCTTTACTTTTCACTTCTTTTCATGAATATGTCTACTAGTATCACTAGAGCAAAGACATTTTATTGTGCACACACCAAAAATTAGAATCTTACCGTAGAATATGGAGACTCGGTGCTTTACACAGTAAATGAATTAATTAAAATAATAAAAAACCATAGGATTACCATTTACATCTAATTAAAAATGATAGAAAATTAGAAGCTCTAATTAAGATTCTAGGGAAGCCCCGTCAAACAAAATCTCCATCTGATAACAATTATGGGGGGGGGAAGAAATTTTGTGCATCCACTTTGAGCAAGACTTTAAAGAGAAATCTTGTGTACCAATGTTTTCAATCTAATTAAAACGGATTGAAAATTAGAAGACCTAACTAATTAAGATTCTGGAAAAGCAACGCATCAAACAGAATCTCCATGCAAAGATCTGGTGTATTATTTCATATACGACTTTAAATATATTAAAATTCTATAAAAAGAATATTTAACATGAAAAGCTAAAAACACATGATGCATATACCATGTAATTCTTCCTTTTTGTATAAAAAACCATGCCAAGAAAATCTAGTATCAGCAATGTCAGATGAGCCCAAGCATTGTACACACCTACCTGCACATTTTGGAGATTGTCTGACTCTAAAATATCTGCCAGTTTCAACAAAATCTCAGACTTGCTCATTTTGCTATCGTCAATTGCAAGACAAATATCAATATCACTGTTAGAGACATCAAATGAGTTGGCGCAAGATCCATATAGGTGAAGCTCAGCATCAGGCCATTCCTTGTTGACCAATTTCCGCAAAGAGACTAATAACTGTTTCTGCTTTTCTTTTTCCTCTTCTGCTGGTATCAGAGATCTATAAATTGCAAGGAATAAGGGTGTCATGTCGTCTATGTCATAGCGGCATTCCAATTCTCTTCTGCGGATCCTCACTCGCTGGCTTGAAACGTAGTGTCCTCTGAACAAATCTAATCTGACATCCTGAGGTGAAAAGTAAAATAAGACCACATGAGTAGCGAGATGTTAAACAACAGAAAGTTCATGCAAGAGTAAGCTCATTATTGTTCTAGTGATAAACAAGTTCTCATGTGTACTTGAGATGTGAATCCTACACAGCTACACCATCATTTTAATCGAGGGTATCACTATATGTTCACCAAGTCTTTCTCTATTTGATCTTGATTTTGATTTTATCAGGTTTATTTTAAACAGCATGATATTGGTTAGCTTTTTATGCTTAATTAATTCCAAGTCGTAACACCAATTGTCAGAACTAGAGTAGCACGTTACACCATTCATGCACAAGGCAAGAACAGTAATACTATTGAACCTGACTGTTTAGCTAACCATGAACCACTGCTAAAAATTAAAACCACAACACATTTTTGTTTCGAATTAATGTGTCAATGTCCATATTCTCTAACTGAGAACATCAGATCTCTACAAACTACATGGGAAGATAAAAAACTCGATAGTTTCCATAATAGTTTAGCATTACACTCCACAACTCTGCCTCACATGCTTAAGTAATCATGTCACTACATACTAAAGGTTTCAACACTCTCATGGTAAAAGTTATCAATCTACAAAGTGTTCTTCTGATGCCGACTCCTAATTACATGTGTTTGGAATAGATCTCCAGAAATCTCCATAAGTGTTTTCTAATTAAAATCTAACATGGGGCAGGTTCACCTTTCAATAAAATTAATCAATCTGAGTTAGTGGTTCTCCCTCCCTCATCTTTAGCACAGTCAACAACAAATAACCCATCACCCCGAAGCCAAACTAACCCCCACCCAATAAAAAACCCCTCAATCCCTTCCCACCCTCTCCTCACCCCCTTCCTCTACCCAATCACCTTCCCTCATTCTCCTCTACCCAACTCCCCTCAATCCTCCAATCACTTTAATGCAATCCTTTCCCATTCTTAACTCTCTAACCTCTCAGCAGAGAAATGGGATGCAGAAAATAGGAGAATACTTATTTCCAAACTAGATCTAAATCTCATAAAGGATTGAATGCAAAACGATCGTGGACCGTTCATCAAAAGATTCTAAGTTCTATTAGAGTAATTTTTATTTTAGTAATATTTGATTTGATTCCATGTAATCTATTAGTTTAGTTATGATTTCAGATTGCTTTAGGATTTGATTTTGAGATCTGTTTCTAGTTTAGTCAGGATTTTATTTGATCACATGTTTTGATTTGATTAGGATTTTTATTTGCTTCAATAAGTGTTTAGTTGCTTTCTTTTTTCTATAAATAAGAGATGTAATCCTCCATGAGAAAGACATTGATGCATAAAAAATTTGATTATGAGAATTCTCTCTTGAGCATGTGAGGTGTACTTTGGCATATAATTTGCCACTTCGAGGTGTACAGCCCTTGGTTGTGAGGTCCCTAGGTGTGAGGCCTAGCTAGTTATCAAAACAGTATTGTTCATCCATGAACAGTGATAACAAAACTGTTCATCATGGATTTCAACATCGTTTCGCCAAGCCATCGACAATTTCTCGCCTCAGATCAAATTCCCCACCCATTCCCCATCATTTGTATTAGAGCCAAAAGATCCATGATTCAAGGGTAAAATACCACCACCTCCTTCACAAGGGTATGATTTCAATCCATTATAATTTGGTAGTCTAGCTTATTTTCATGGAATTGATAGATATGAGACGCTGTATGATTTTGAAGACTGAATTTTCAACATAGAAAATATATTTTCTATCTACGATATGTCAGATTTAAAAATGTATTTATATGTTGTGTAGGCTCAAGAGAGAAACAAATTAATGATGGTCTAGAAATTATTCCGGTTTTCATTCACGTATCCGTTTATGGGAATCTATGAAAGATCTTATGAAAAGGAGGTACTCTTGTAGTCCATCTAGAAGATATTTTCTCTTCAAAACCTGAACCAAAACCAACACAAGTGCCTCAACTCCAGCCAGATATGGACTCACTCGCAGTCGAAACTTGAATTCAGTTCAGAGCCGAAGTCTAAACTAAAACCAAAAGAACCAAATCAGAAGACTGACTCAAAGCCAATGCTTGAGCTTTAAGAAAAATTGGAGCAAAATATTGATTCAAAACCAGATCCTGAGCGAAAGACAGAACTTGAGCTCGGGCTAGAAGCTGAACCATGTCAAGAAATTGATTCAAAGTTGAAGCCTAAAGTTGAACCTAAACAAGAGCTAGAACTTAAGTTGGAAGCAGATTGAGCCAAATGTTGATCCAAATCCAAAGCTCAAATCGACTCCAGAGCTCAAAATCTAGTCAAGCCTAGAACCCAAATTTAAGACAGATATGCAACGCAAACTCCCTGCCCAAGCTACTACGATTATTGAGTTCGTTATGCTAGACCTTCCAGCTTCCACCACCAACTCAATATCAAGTTATATTGCGCATGTTGAAGATTCTGCAATCCATGACGGAATTCTTCTCACCGATCAACATAACATTACACTCTCCAACTATAAAACTCGAGGTCAAAATTTCTCTAACAAGGGAAGATTTGATGCAGGACCGTTTATCAAAAGATTTTAAGATCTATTAAAATAATTTTTATTTTAGTAATATTTGATTTGATTCCATGTAATCTATTGTTTAGTTAAGATTTCTCTAAGATTTGATTTTTGAGATCTTTTTCTAGTTCAGTTAGGATTTTCTTTGATCGCGTGTTTTAATTTGATTGGTATTTTTATTTGCTTCTATAAGTGTTTATTTGCTTTCTTTTTCTATAAATAAGAGATATAATCCTCCATGAGGGAAAGACCCTGATACATAAAAATTTGATTACGAGAATTCTCTCTTGAACATGTGACATATTCTTCTGTGTCTGATTTTCCTCTTCGGAGTGTGAAGCTCTTGAGTCTGAGGCCCCTAAGTGTGAGGACAAGCTAGTTATCAAAAACCACAAAACAGCCCAATTCCATATTCATCGTGGATTTCAACACCGTCAAGCCGTCAACAATTTCTCGCCTCTAAATCGAAGCCCTCACACCGTTCTCCTTCAGGTACATACATCATCTAGAGTTCTTCTTAGGTGTTGTAATTGAATACTATTTTTAGTAAATTTGAATGCGTGGTTGCGAATTAAATTATTCAAAGGGGTCATTTGACTACTCGGAAAAAAAGGGGAAGGAAAAGGATTAAGTATAGATAAATGACATTTTTAAAAGTTGTAAGTAAAAATATTTATCCAATAGATATCATATTAATATTCTCCTATTGAGTCCATAACTGCAAACTGTATTTGGATGCTCATACCATTTAAACCAATCAGCAAGATAATAACCTTAGTCCCATTGATTACCAACATGACAAAAACAAGTGTTGCAAACCTCAAAACTGAAGACATGTGTCTTTTTTTTAAAATTAAAGTCAACACTACTGCAAGTATTTACTATTAGCTACATACCATGATATTCTTTCATGGCAACATAAATTTGGAAGCTTTTGAAGCTAAAGCTTACTACGGGAGCAAAAGGTACAATTGTTTACCTTACCCCTCGAAGATTTGGAATGCGACTCGACACTAACTTCAGTACTATCATCATTAAGCACCAATGCTTCCTCTAACTTGTCAGGCAAATTATCGGAACCTTTTGAACTCCTCCTTGACGGCCCAAAACCATCTTGTTGCTGAAAATTCCTTTCTCTAACTGATTCTTCAGAGGTATAATAAGCTCCTCTCATACCACCTCCAGACTTATTTAACTGGTGTTTTCGCTGCTGCTGCTGTTGATGATGAAGATGGAGTGAAGTTCCTCCTTGAGTGTAATTTCCTTCCCTTTGGTTGTAACCTCCCCTTATTCTATCTGCATTGTGCTTTAAAGACTGTGCATTGAAGCTACTAACACGCTCTGGCGGTGTTCCAGATGTTTGGACCGGTGCTCTATGCTCCGGATGCATCGAATTAGCCTTCTGCCAGTGGTTATTATTGCCTCCTCGGCCTCCAACCCTAGATTCAAGATTTAGGGTTTTGATACCATCTCGCTGCTGCGGGCTAGTGGAGAACTGAGGAGGAAAGCCGGGTGGGACCCAGTGGCGTTGGTCGCCGGAGAATCCAGGAGGAGGAGGAGGAGGAGGAGATGAGTGCTGCCGAGGACGGAGGAAGGCGTGGGGGGCGAAGGCGTACGTGGGGCCAACGGAGGCGACGGCGGGGTCGCGTTGGGGGTTGAAGGCTAGGGTTTCATGGGGGAGGGGTTGATGCTGATGACGACGATGGTTAGGGTTAGGGTTAGGGTTAGGGTTAGGGTTAGGGTTTGGCGGGGCCGGTGGCGCCGCCGCCTTCGCCGTCGGCCATGCTGATATCGAAGATTTTTGGACACCGACGGAGGCTTGGATTTAAGATCTGTCTCGGATCGGGTCGGAGTTGATTATTGCATCTCTGACTTCCTTTTCTTCTATTCTTTTGGCTAAATATCAGAAAAAGAAAAAAGATATCCCCTTAACTTTAGATGATCGCCGGATAACCACAAACCATTCAAAATATTAGAAAAGCCTCTTTAGTGAACAGGTTATCAATAAATCTATCTTTTAAATTTAAGATTTTATCAGAGAGACACTAAGGGGGGGGTTATTCATTGGTGTAAATATTGGGATAATGGGATAATTTTTGGAACATTACTTTTTGGTGTTATTCATTGGTGTAATTAGCACTGGAGTTAACTTTATGGTGTTATTGGTTTGTTTGGGTTATTGTGGGACAAATACACCACTTCCCCCAAAAATTACCCCCACTATATAAACGCAGCTCAGATCCCCTCCTCAAAATTACCCAATTTTTTCCGCTGGAACAAGATGGAACAAGATTGGGGTAATTTCTCGAGGACCTCCTCCTCAATCTCCTTTGCTGCGACCCCTCCCTCTTCCTCGAGCGATATGGGTCCCACCTAACGGCCGACGAGCTTTTCCCCTTCAAAGCCCTAACTACTCACTACTCCGTCAAATTCCACCTCTCACGACTTCAATCCCTCCTGAATCCGACCCTAGAAGACAGTGATGTCGAGGCCCAGGGAGCGGTGGTCGGATACTTTGTTGAGACGGTGTGAGGAGGAGGAGATTACGGAGAAGATACGAGGGGAGCAGAGGAGGAGAGGGGTTGATCGGAGGGAGTGGGTCGGGGGTGGCGATGAGATACCCCCAAAGTTTAGTTTTGCTAATTTGATACCACAACGTGCTACAATTTCTACAAAATTTCTTAAAATTTCGGATTTTGGAGATTTGGGGAAACGAAGTTAGGGCTTAAGTTCCAAATTGACAATTGAAAAAGGCTGAAGCTTTGGGGTATTAGTACGCAAATAGGGCTTTTTCTATTGCTGTTGATATATGTAGTTTGCTCATTGCTAATCATTTCAAACATTCATCAAATATGTTGATTAAAGCTTGTTCTTCGGTCATAAAAATTTCACTGTTTGCGTTATGCAGTCATAATTACACTATGGGTGTTGTATTAATGGTGTTTTATTTGTAATAATTGAGATTTTATCATAATAATTGTGTCACTCAATTTATCTCATTACCCCATTTTACCCCACTTTATCCCACTTAAATTATCCCAATGGGTAAAATTACCCTATTGGGACAATTAACCCAATTTGTCCCAAATTACACCAATGAATAACCCCCCCTAATAGTGTTTGGTCGCACTTTTTTTCACATGAGTGGGTAAATTACAATGGGGAGATTTTTCATAAGCTTATTTGTACCTTTGAAACTTTTCAATATGTTATTTGTAATTTTTTAAACTTTAAGAATTTCTTTGCAACTTTCAGATTTTTTTAGCTGGGTGTTTGCAATTTCATATTTTCCAATGGTTGTTTGTGCTTTTTAGATCTGTTATGGATTTGTTTGTGTTGATGTTAAGTGATCACATAGTCAATAATATTCGTGGTCGGATAGGGGTGAGGTTGATGAGGGGTCGCTTCCTTCCCCGAATATCCGGTTCTGAGTTGGGTTGCTGAAAGGCTTGCACATGTAGAAACACGTGAGAGGACGGGGATTGGTTCCCCTGTGGTTCATCCGACAATCAAGTCAGCTGGTGAGCTTGAGTGAAGAAAGTAAAGAGCTGTGAGAGTTCTTGTGTATGTAGTATAATTTACAGATTACTCTGAGAAGATCAGATCTCCAGATCTCTTGAATGAAGGAATAGTATCTCTTATTTATAGTAGTGCCGAAAGGGTAGAACCATTATTGTGGCCGAGCACAGGATGGCGGTGAAGAGATCACCTCAGCATTAAATGGGAAGTGAGCGGAGGCATGACGGTGTTGACGTGATCCGATGAGTCATGAAGACTATCGGGGCTAAAGGTATGATGGTGCTTGTCAAGCCTTAAATATGATGCTGACACGTTGTCAGTGGGAGAGGCTCGAGACTGAGGTTGTCCTCTAGCTTCGGCGAGAAGTAACACCTTTCGAGTCGACCTCGTGAGGTGTCAAGAAATTGGTCGAGTGGGTCGTCTTCGATAAGAGGGTCAACTAGTACGGCCTCTCGAGTCGACATGAAGGAATGTCTACTCGACGAGTCGGGTGAGTTGTAACCCTTGTCGGTTTTCGACCGTCAACTTGATTAGAACATTGCATGCAGATGTACACATATCCGTTACTAGTAAAGAGTCGCACTTAGGTGATTGATAACACCATAACAGTTGGCCCCTTTCGCTTGGAGTCGGCTTTAGCCGGGTCCGAGTGAAATAAGAATTGCTTTGGACGGACGTGGGTGCTTTTAAATGCGAGAACTGAAAAGTCCCTTCAAATTGACGTGGCTGACGTCACTACACGTTCTTTTTTACTGTCACTGCTCCGCTTTTCTTGGCAGATTGCGGACTTTTCGATGCGAGTATGTTGCACCTCGATCCGTGAGATGGCGCTTCGAGTTCTGAAAATTAATCTTGGCTGTTGGTCGGAATGTGATATGACGGTTCTGATCTCGGCAGTTTTAAAGTCAGTTGCTTATTTATAGAACCAAAGCTAGAGAGAGGGCGGTTACTACCTTTTCAAATTCCCTTCAGAGAACTTAGAATTTTTTGCTCATCTCTTCCGGTGATCATCTCTGCAATCTTCGATGGCATCTGAGCCTATGAATCGTCGAGTTCTCCTAGCGGGGATCTATTTCAAAGTGACGCAGTCCCAAATAATGATGCTCTCTACGAGGTTTGACATCCCCAAGGGTATGATTTGATGGCTGCAACAAGGTCAGAGGCCATTTTTGATCATGGGCCAGAACGAGATCCTCTGTACTTAAGGTATTTAGAGTTTGGTCTACGACTGCCTCTGCATCCCTTCCTTCAACAAGTGTTCATGACGCTAGGGGTTTCGCCAGCACAGATGAAGCCGAACGTCATCGCCATCTTGGTGGGGTTCATGGTGATCTGTCACTAGTTGGCGATCAAGCCATCTTTGCGGGTCTTGGGCCGGCTGGTGGCCGTGAAGGTGAATTAGACTTAGCCCCACTTCCACTTCCAAATGGTTGGGAAGTTTAAGCTTGTCACTAGCCTTCCAGACTCCCATAAGAACTGGAAGGAGAAGTTCGTCTGGATCGTGGGGGATGACCTAGAGTTGGGCTGCTCCAACTGGCCTAAAATAAAGAGGTAGGCACTCATGGAGGGCGAGTTTACCGTCACCGAGAGAGACGCACTTAACCAGATTAAGGCGTAAGCTGGATCTCGTCGAGTCGACCATCTGCTCGACAACTCGGTCTTTACGGGTTGTCAGTGTGTTGAATGTGCCCCCTTCTGCTAAGGATCATGAGAAGGCTTCAGCCCTAGTCATAAGGACAGCAGAAGCGGTGACAGCACCTATTGTTCCTTTGGCTACTCCCCAGGAGGGGTCATCTGCTAGGCCCATAAAGCGTCTTCGTTAGGGCATTCCTCCAACGGAGGCCGAGACGGCTAAGGAGGAGCCTGCTCCCACCCTTGTCCATAGATGGAGGAGGCCGAGGGATGTGGAATAGGTACCTCAAGTAGCACCCGAGATGGCCAAGACCGACATCATTAGTCTAGACGAGTCAGCCTCAGGAGAACCAATCGAGGCTCCTCAAGAAGAGGGAGCCGAGGCTAGAGCTTCTGCTGATGTGGGAGGATCGTCCGTCTACCACAGCGAGTCGACTTGTCGTGACCGTAGCGAGTCGACTCGGCGGGGGAAGGAGCTAGTCGAGGAGGAGATAGTGCCTCCCGTGGCCTAGAATATCCTTTTCCTCACAATGTCACCGACATCAGTGAGGAAGAATGGGAGAAGATGAGGAAGTACCTCAACGAGCTTACATGGGTTGGCTCTCGATATGGATAAGAGCCTGACCCGTAGCACCACTACAAGCCTAATCAGCACCTCGACGTCCGGGGGACTGTCTTGGGCTCTCGTCGGACATAGCAAAGGGTGGTCGAGTAGTTCTGGCTTCCTCAGGATGAGGAGTATTTGCAAGGGGTCCCAGATGTCGGCCTCCACCATAGCTTTCGCAGCTACTTTGTTTGATGCGCTTTGGTAGAGACAGAGTTATACCGCCAGATGGATCTGATCTGGACCACTTATCTTAAGCTCCTAGGGGAGGTTACTTCCCTAAGGGCAGATAGAGAGGCTGACTCAGAGCGAACCGTGGAGACGTCGGCCCCAAGTGCTTCTGAGGTCGACGAGCTCGGGCTGGAGCTGGAGGAGAGTCAGAGGAAGGCCATAAGGATGGAGGAGGCTCTCCAGGAGAGGGACCGCGCCATGGCGCTGGCCGAAGTGGAGAAGGATTTGGCAGTGCATGTAAGACGTCAACTGGACGAGGTGCATGCAACGCTGGTCAAGCTTCAAGAGGAGGTCGCCCACTTGCGGGAGTCGCTTTCAGCAGTTCAAAGCCAAAAGGCTCAACTTGAGTCCGAGGCTCACCGCCGGGAGATCATCGAGGAGTATCGCCAAATCTTAACTGAAAAAACTAAAGTGGCGATCGCCTGTAAGGTAGGGTATGATTATCTGTCGGTGTAGCTTTCAGCCGAGATGAGGAACCCAACCGATCATTTCCACTACCCTTCCATCATGGCCAATTGTTTGGACGAGTTGGTGGAGGTGAAGCACTTGGAGGGGGACTCGATCTAGGTGAGGAAGAGGGAGAATCAGACGAAGGAGGAGACTGCTTGACTCCTCCGTCGGTTGCACCAAGGGGTTCCCCACCAGTGACCCTGGGAGCGGGAATGGACTTCTCTTAGTCTCCCTAGAACTCTCCTGTCTCTGTGTTGTATAGATGTATACATTGTATCTTATAAATATTCCTTGTAAATGAATAAAAAATATTTT